ACCCCCCTAAGGGACTGGGGGAGCTATAGCCTCCAAAATGTAACTTTCCCAGCTTTGTTTTGTTTGTAAGTATTCCCATTAATAATAAAAAAACCTTTGATATTTTATGTGCATGATAACTTTTCATTTCCATCTTTTATGGCCCAAAGTAAAAGAAGTCATCATGAATAAAGACAACTGTATTATTGGAAAAGTAATTATTTTTTTAAAAAATGTATTTACAAAATGAAAACAGAACATATAATTCTCTGGGCTCTTTTCCCAGCTCCAAATTAGGCTGGGCTTTACTGGAAAATGCAGTACCAGTAACTTCTACTAGCTGGACAAAGCTATAACATCACATTTTCTTTGGCCCCTACATGAAACTGTGATACCACCAGAATTTTGAAGAACCTTGTTCAGCCATATTAAGAGACAAGAAAGGCGCAATAAACTCCACCATGATTGCTGAAGCTCTGAACCAGTAGAATCCATAACATTCTATATTCTTCCTACAAATGTTATTGAGAGACAAAAGCTTGTTTGAATCTCTACCTATAGCTCTAAAGACCTGTTTGGGAACCTATTTCATTCATTTTCCCCTTGCATTAGAAGTCAGCACAACCCCCTGTTAGGTGAGTATCAACATATGATTTAATTCCTATTGTGGTCATTGAACCTTCATGCTGTGAGGGGAAGGCCAAAATTTCAGAGATTCTGAGATTTTCTGTTTCAGGATAGGGGAAACTACTGCCTTCTAGATACTGCTGAAGGATTTAGGCCCAAGTCATCCTGGTCAATAGTAAGGCATGATCATTGTTCAGCAAAATCTGAAGGGTTGGAGATTCACCACATCTCTGATACTGTACAACCATATTTGTCTAATACCATATTTTATTGTGAATATGAATTGTGAATGTTTATGGTAACTTAGGGGTCATTCATACATTGTTGTTTTTAGCATGACTATGCAAATAATCTCACTCATGCATTCCAGGTTTGTTATTCATACTATGGAACCGCATTTATGCGCATCTCTGCGAGTTCGTTTGCTCACATGTGCGAAGACTCAAATAAAGATGGAGTCGATGATGTGAATGTATTTGAAGCATGTTCAAGGCTTGCAGAGTTTTATTACAGTTTATCCCAGGTCTATTTGCATTGGTTATTCACACAGCCAAGGGTTCAAATCTTTTAGAAAAATTTGGGGAAAAAATACACCCATCGATTATCCCAGGTTAAGTGGATTTTTTGGCATCCCCCCTCAATTTAATTGGATTCATTCGAAATGCATGTGAACAACAAAGATTCAACCCAAATTCTACCTGGATTATTTTCACCATCTGAATAACCCCTTGGACAGTTGTGAGCTTCCTACAAAAGAAGATTTGTGAAGTTGTAATGATGAGTTACCTTTTCTAAAGCCTCTTTTTTATTGAAATGCAGTTTTGTTGTGTTCTAAGTAGAGTTGTTGTTGTTTCTTGTAAAATATTATTGTTTGGAAATCATGTGCTAAAATCTAACCATACAAAAGGAATAGGGCTTTCTGTTGTACTAATACAGTGGATCCAAAATTTTGGACTTCAGTTGTTTTGGACTCATAGAATTCCTAACTGTTGGTCAAGCTGGCTGGGGCTTCTAGGAGCTGATGTCTGGAGGACCACAGTTTGGAATCACCTATACTAGTAATATCATATGTTTATTCCATTCAGGAAGCAATACTGGAGCCACAACTGCTTGCTTTCATTCTATTGCTCAACATTTTTAATCCAGATAAGGCAGGCATACTCCTTACCTGAAGATGGAAATATAGCCATTCATCATCATAAATGGAGAACAGCAAACACTAAGAGTGCATCTATATAGTACAAATAATGCAGTTTGACACAAATTTAAGCACTGTAGCTCCATGTGGAATACTGGGATTTCAAGTTCTGCAGGGTCTTTAGCCTTCTCTGCCAAAGAATGTTAATGCCTCACCAAACTACAAATCCCAGGATTCCATGGCAGTTAAAGTGGTATCACACTTCCTTACTTTCACAGTCTAGGTACACCCTAAGTTAGCTGAAGGTTGCAAAAAAACAAAAACATAAAATACTGCAATAATAAAAAAAATAAAAATTACAATAATGTTACACTGGTGAAAATGCTATAGCGTCAAATTTCCAGTGCTTTCCTCATACATTCAATCTAAACAGCTTCCTTATTTAAATCATATGGATGAAGTAAAAGGACATACTAGCATGAAGTAGAATTGCTGGTCCTCTTATACCAGCCTTCATCAACCTGATGCCCATTTAAAGTCTTAGATGACTTCAAATTGTGCTTAATTAAGGTGTTGCAATGATATGGTTTTAGTATTTTGGAGTGGGAAAAGAACACATTGCACAAAACACTCCTGAACTATACTTGACCAGCCTTCATCAACCTGATGCTTGACCAGCCTTCGGGGGGGGGGGGGG